CAAATATACAGCCGATACCTATAGAACAATGGAAAGAACACTACTCAAAAGAACTAAAAGAATTCAGAGAAAAATATATTTTATACTCCCCTAAACATTACACTATACAAGGAGAATACCATCGACGAGGATGACATACAAAAAGCACTAAAATCCATGAAAAATAAAAAAGCGTCAGGACCAGAAGGATTACCAGCAGAATTATTAAAAAACGTATCATATAAATTAATACTGCATTTGAAAGAATTAATGACAAGATATATAAATGGTGAGCCAGTACCACTAACTTGGAAAGAAGCGTGGATAACACCAATCCACAAAAAGGGAAAAAGAGATGAATGTTCCAATTATAGATGCATCTCGGTCACAAGTACTATGAGTAGACTATATGGAAAGATACTGCGAAATATAATTGAAAGGTAGTATGCACCGTATGAGGTAGAAGAACAGGCAGGGTTCCGTACGGGACGATCGTGTATAGACCATATATTCACTCTGGTCCATATAAATGAAAAAAAAGTGGCAACCAATAGAGAGGTACATCTGCTCTTTGTTGACCTCACAAAAGCGTATGACACCGTTCCGATCCAAAAGCTGGAAAGTCCTCGAAGAATCCTCTATAAACAACACAGCAATAGAAGCAGTTCAACAGCTATATAATGAGGCAACATCAAGAATAAAACTTGGTACGGCGCTATCTGTAGGTTTTCCTGTAACTAAGGGCCTACGACAAGGTTGCTGCCTATCCCCGATGTTATTTAAGATCTATCTGAATGAAGCCCTAGAAAAATGGAGAAGATCGTGCAGAGGAATGGGAATACCACTTAATGACGAAACAACTCTATACAACCTTCATTTTGCAGACGATCAAGTGGTAGTAGCTCAAGGTAAGGAAGACCTACAATTTATGACAACAAGACTTTTAAACGAGTATGAAAAGTGGGGGTTATCAGTAAATACGTCGAAGACTAAGTAATACTTATGTATAGGCAAAGCAGCAGAAACTTTACATCTGGATGGAAATATAGAGACAGGATCACGCAGTAAATACACCTATCTTGGAACCCAGATAGATTATACCGGGCGTACAGAGAGCGAGATTGAGGAAAGAATACTGAAACGTAAAAAAATCATCGGGTGCCGAAATTCAGTATTATGGTCCAAACACATCTCATATGAGAAAAAACATACTATTTATAATTCCATCTTTAAAAGTATAGTATTATATGAGATGGTATATATTATATGAGATCCACACTTGAGATGGACTTCTGAAGATCTGCGGGAATATCAAGAATGGAAAGAGTATCGAATAAAAAGATAAGGGAAAGTATGCATGTCCAGCAAACCATAATGGATGAAATAGAGAGAAGACAGCTGGTATGGTATGGGCATGTAGAAAGAATGAGTGAGGACCGAATACCGGAGAAAGTCTTGAAATGGATACCTTCAGAAAGGAGAAAAAGGGGAAGGCCAAAGGCAGCGTGGATCGTAGTAATACATAAAGCTATGTCGGAAAGAAACCTTCGTCCAGGTGATTGGGAGAATAGGAAAGGCTGGCAACTGGTACGGTAAAGGCTGGCTTACCGGAAGGCGTAGGACGCTATGAACCCGGTTTTATATATAAAATTAAGAGAAAAAGTATGCATGCATGCACATGCATTACAGGCTAAGTTAAAAATACATATGTTTTCATCATAATTTATGAGGTAAATGATTAATTAATGCCTAGTTTTTATTGAACTATGTGTATAATTATTATATTTATTGAACTATGTATAATTATATTATATATAATTATTTAAATGAACAAGAAAGAAATAGTGAGGGAAATGTATAAAAAAGAAGAAAAAGATTAAACGGCTCAGCCCTCAACAACTCGTAACCGTATACACCAGTGTACACCAGTGCAGACACGCACACTCACACTCACACAACCACACACCTACACTAATGCACACTGATGTTACTGCCTTCAGGCTTCATCAGTACGGTAAGGAACCAGGAAGCGATGAAACCGATCCCAAAACACAAAAAACCAGGAAGCAAACGATGCAACGAGGCACCGTGTGCAACCCAGGAGATGGAAAAAAAATTGACGAAAAAACGAAAATAAATGATGGAAAATGAAAGGAGCAAACGGGAGCCTAAAGCCCCGTTTGCTGTTGGCTACCTCCGCGGCTGTTCTGGACGAAGCCCACAATTCTGGGCGACTCTGGTACTTGGCTGCAAATTGGGGCTTTAGGCTCCCGTTTGCTCCTTTTATTTTCCATCATTTATTTTCGTTTCTTCATCAATTTTTTTTCCATCTCCTGGGTTGCACACGGTGCCTCGTTGCATCGTTTGCTTCCTGGTGTTTTGGGATCGGTTTCATCGCTTCCTGGTTCCTTACCGTACTGATGAAGCCTGAAGGCAGTAACATCAGTGTACACTAGTGTAGGTGTGTGGTTGTATGAGTGTGTGAGTGTGCGTGTCTGCACTGGTGTACACTGGTGTATACGGTTACGAGTTGTTGAGGGCTGAGCCGTTTAATCTTTTTCTTCTTTTTTATAATTATTTATATATTAATAATTATTTTATTATCTAAAATCGATGTTTATATTCCAATTTTCTATTTTTTTTTCGGCTAATTTCAGTTCCATCAACACATTAAATGGTGTTTATTAATTGAAGTGTAAAACTGATTATGAAATTAATTAAGTCATCTTTATCTAATTCTCAATTTTAGTCGCAGGTAGTAATTTTAAATGATGAAGGCCTACTATTAAATAATATATGCTGTTTAAAAAAACACATTTATTCATTATTTCGAATTTGAGTATAGGAACTACTCCATAAAACATAAAGTTGGGTAAAGATAAAAAGTTAATTTATCATGTGAAATACCTGGTATTATATTTGAAATAAACAACAGCAATATCTAGTTTTGACTTACCATATTCAAGATAATATCTATACCTTTGTGTTTGTGGCGGATCCATTTTTAGAAGACTTCTGGGTTTTCCGCCACTAGATGAAAGTCTACAAAATAAAAAAAGTTACTTTTTCTAAACACCACTGCCTTGATCCAACTGAGACCAATTTACTAATAAAACAAATTTGTTTAACGGACAAAATTGTTTAACGTTTGAGGTTTATGATAGACGTATTTGTTAAAAAGCTAAAATGTTCTTGGATAGTTGTATTTAGATATTTTAAATAGTTCTTTCTCTTACACGTTGGGTATTTACCCATCGCCCATCACAGATCCTGAAGGTCTAAAACTTGGAGTTGGGCACAATAAGTCTATTAATCTAACGCCATGACAAATTTTACTGAAATATATATATATTATTAATATAATTTTAAAAAATTATTAATAATCGTACTAATTCTTGTATTAATTATTGGAGAAACTAGGCTATCCTATAAAAAAACTTCATTTAATTAAAACCTAGCTATCAATTTAATTATTGGAAAATAATAACATACTTTTTGATTAGAAATGTGTGTGTATAATGAAGAGACAGGGGACGAATCAGAGCATTACATTTTATGTCGTCCTGAATAATAATGTCCTTTCTTAAATTATTTAAATAAATGACAATGTACTATAGCAAGTTTAATGCTAATTGGTATGGAAACATGTGAAATAATTACAATAGCACACACTATTTTTCTATATGGTCGAATTATATAAAATATAACTTTTTATGCTTACGCTTGCAGTATGGCCTTTTATAACGAACTTTATACATCGAAATATGATTTATATACTTCAAAAGAAATAATTTATGTCGTTTTATCCCATACGATCGAAAAAAAAACGACGTCAAAGACGGCTGGGGAATGACAATTGATAATAATTTTGCCGGGGTCAAGCCCTAGACACCATTTACTTGGGTCGTATTATTCTTTATTAGCCGACCATACCAATAGGTTTATTAAGATCGGCAAAAAAAATATTTCACAGAAAATGAGTTTTTTGGGTTATAAATGACCTAAATACAAAATATTTTCATGGTGTCTGTCTGTCCGTCTGTAACACGATAACTCAAAAACCGCTAAACCGATTTTAACCAAATTTGGCACAAAAATACTGTGGCACCCGAGAATCTGACCATTAGTTTTTCGTGGGGGTGGGGTGTTGGTAAGGAGGTATGGGAGGGGGTTAAAAATTTTAAAAAATCGTATCTTCAAAAATACAGTAGCTAGCGAAACGCGGTTTTCAATTTAAGATTAGGAATAATATTTGCAACAAAATTTGTAATAACATCAAAATCAGTCAAAGTCGCAGTTTTTGAGATAAAAAAATTGGAAAAATTCCTTTACTTTGAAACTGAAAGAACTGCCTACCAACTTTTTATTAACATATTTAGTATGGACGGCTATACGTGTCTCCCGGCGCCAATTTTTTTTAATAACGTTTATAGCCAGTTGGCCTTAAGAAAGTAGTAATTTATTTTTACATTCAATGAAAATTATTTTTATGGTTAGTTTAAAATTCGAGAATTTTCTGCAAATTTATGACAAGTTTTATGCCAATTTTTAGTAAATGACGTCTATAGAATGACCTCGCCAAAACTCGCCTTATTGATCGTTGATCTCTAGCCGTCTTGGACGCGCATTTTTTTCGATCATACGGTAAACTACTACCAAGTGCAAATATTTTTTGGGGTAGTATGTATGAGGTTTTTTCGCGACATTTTTGTTAAAATTCGGAATTTTTTGAAAAAAGAATTTGAATTCTTTTACTTTTAAGTTAAAAACTATATCTTGATAATATGGCAACATAGGTAGTAGATTAAATTTAGTAGAAATAAAAACCCAGAAAAGATTGTTTTAAAAATTTAACCAAAAAAATTATTTTTTTAAATTTACATAAACACAAAAATGAAATTGAAAAAAAGCCTCTATTTAAGACTCACCCTGCATAATTGTAGCAAAAAAGTCAATTTTTGAAGATTTTTTAAAAACGGTAAAAATCATGTTATTAAATAATATACCTGCTTTATTTTCAGAATCCATCAAAGTAAAAGCCAATGGCACTGTGAAATATGCGGAACATATCTGAACACAACTAAGAATATTCTAAACGAGGATATAGTAACTTGCTTCAGATGCGGCGTCAGAGTATGCAAAGAAAAATGTGCCAGATACATAAAGAGAAGAATATGGCTTTGCCAGAATTGTCTCCACCCTCGTCAATCCCTGCTCCAAAGTTTTCTGGAAGTAATTCATCCTAACATTAGAGGTAGGTAAAATCTAATTACCTGTAACTTGAGACGCGTCTAATAATTTTAGATTATTAACATGTATGCAATGATCTTTATCTAAAATATGTTGAGATGAGATGAAACAAATTTATGGCACGAATGGTTGCCGTTTCGGCACACTCAGCGATGAGGTGTTCTGGTGTTTCCCCATTTTCCTCACAGAATCTGAATTCGCCGTTGTTTCTTAGCTTCAATCTACTGAGGTTTTCATTAAGGAGACATTTTCCTTTTAGAAACTCCGTTACAATTCGAAGATTTGTTCTAAAGTAAATCAAGGAAAATCTTTATTTATTTATTTTTTATTTTTCTCTGTCATCCTGAGGAATTTCTTTCAGTTTCTTAGACCGTTGGAGGATTCCCATTCCAGGTTACGGATAAAGTCTTCCAGGTGCTTAGTTCTGCTTTAAGTTGGTTTCCACTCGGGAAGCAGAACGGTTCTTGTCTAGTTAGTGGAGTGTTTGCACCTTTTCTAGTTGAAATAGTTGAAAAAAATAAAAAAAGTTGATTGTAGAAAAGAGACAAGTCCACATTTTCCATTTTCCACAATGGTCGCATTGTTATCCTGACACGTAGCCGCATGTTTTTTGTGAAAATGAAACATGTCCGCCCATTCTAAACCGGGTGAAATGCAAAAAAAAACTAAAATCATGTGCACTCCCCCGGAAGATCATAACAATGCTATAAAAATCGGAGAAGAACTATTGGAATATGTAGCGGAATTCAATTACCTCGGAAGTTTGATTTCGGAAAAGGCCAATATCGACTTTGAAATTCAACACAGGATCACCAGCGCGTCAAGAGCTTTTTGGAAATTAAAAGACAGGGTTTTCTACAATCATGACTTGAGCACAAACACAAAACTTGCAGTGTACCGAGCAATAATAATCCCCACCATGTTATATGGAAACGAAACCTGGGGGCCGTCTCGCCGATACACGAACGCTTTAAACAAGTTGCAACAGAGACACCTTAGACTCTTAAGATTCAAATGGTTCCACCATGTCTCAAACGTATATATCCTTGAAAAAGGTAACTCCGAGAGTATTGAAGTCATGATTACAAAATAACGCTTAAGATGGGCTGGTCACGTATGCAGAATGCAAGAAAACCGCATGCCGAAATCTCTGCTTTACGGTGAGCTTGTAGACGGTAAGAGGAGGTCGGGTGGACAACTCAAAAGGCACAAACATATTTTCCACGAAAACTTAAAGGGGTTTAACATGCAGTATGAGTGGGAAGAAGCAGCTATAATAGAATGCAATGGAGAAGAATTGTAAACTCAGTTAATAGCGACAACCAAAAAGCAAAGAGGCAACAAAGCAATGAAATTTATTTTTGAATGTCCGGAGTGTGGTACACAGATAACATTACGTATCGGGCTTTTCAGTCACAAAAAAGCTCATGAAAGAAAACGCCTAGCGTCACTATCTTCTGACGCAGAAGAATAGAAAAATATTGAAGAGCAGAAAAGAGTCATGTCCCGGACATGACCCCTTTCTAGCCGAATTCCTCAAACTATGCGCTCTAATTTGTGAGCATATTCAGTCGTTTCCTGTTAAGGAGTTTCGCTATTCATCATGGCTGACGAAGTACCTACCATCTAACGTCAACGTCAAAACCTTGCATGAATAGTTTCTGAAAAAATACCCCGATTTTCAAGGAAAATCTAAATACTATTTCTAATGGGATTATTTTAGCCCAAATTTTTCGTTTTGGTAGGCCTTATCACGATATGTGCACGACGTGTGAAGAATTAAATATCAAAACCAAAATCCCTTACTGAATGTTACTGCTAGACGAATGGCTGTGGCTGAACTGACGATACATAAAAGAAGAAGCCAGAAGTTTTACAACTCGTTTCATAACAAAGTTTCTTTTCCTTTGAGAGGTCAATCTTACCTGGCTTGTGATCGAAATTTTTGCTAATAAATAAAATATGTTTACAGAATGATGTACCTACTTGATGAATATATTAATGTGATGGCAAATTCTTCTAATATTTATGGAAAATTCAGTGTGATCGTGGACAATTCAATGATATACAATTATCTATCAGCAATTTTTCCTACCCATTACGTCATAACCATCCCATTTGAATCAAGGAGTTGCCTCCCAAAGACCAGAAAAACATTTTGATACCTTGGTACTATTATTTTGAGTGTTCCCACCAACGTTCAGGCAATATTGTAACTTCGAAATTCATTACTACCTTTGTCGTCTCTCATTTCTGCTTGGGAAGGTATAGCGATTCTCATCCCCTCCAAATGCCTTCCACAAAATTATATCAAAATTAAAATTCCATAAATATTACGACGATGAGGGAAATTATGATTTTGGAACGATCTGTGTAAAAATATAAAAAAAGTTAATTTCAGAATTACAAAACTTCTACATTGTGGTATATCAACAATATATTTTATATACTGTTGTATAATGTACAGGGTGGGTCAAATTCGACGCTTTTAAATGGAAACGCCCTTTTCTATAGGAGACAGACGAAAACTAATATCGGTGTTTGGAGCTCAATTTTCATCAAAAACATGATGGTGAAAACAGCACATCAATATCTGTTAGCGTTAGAGTTACGGGATGTTTTTCAAAAATGTGCATTTATAACAAATCGCTGTAACTTTTTTGTTATGGAATTTTTTGTATTTCTATAAAAACATTTCCAAAGCACCTTTTTACGTAGAATTTCATGGTTTAAGTATAATTTTTTAAAATTAATAATTTAAGAGTTATCAACAGAAAAATTGATTTTTTATTTGGGGCACCCTCTATATTTTTAATTAACTGAAATGAATTTAAAATTACCTTTTCAAAAATATAGCACACTTGATATTTTGTTATAATCCCCTTCCAAATACAGAATATTTAAAAGTTCGCCACTTTTAACTAGTAGGCTTTTGACACTTTATTGATGATATGCCCTTAATGGATCTCGAAAACATTTTTCCAGCAAGACGACGTACCGCCTCAAAACGCTGAAGTTATCAGCAAATTTTTGCAGCCAATTTCAAGAATAATTGCATAGCTAACCAAGATCGCAGCGGTTGGCCGTCGAGGCCGCCTGACTTAGTGCCCATGGATCTAATCCTATGGATATATTTGCGGAAGAATAAAGGTTCCTTATTCTTCCGTATAATCTATACAAGAATTAGAAATACTTAGCAGTTAAGAGGGTATCTTCCACCCCCACTGAGTTAATGAATTCCGCGAGAAATGTTCAAAAACGGCCCCGTCGCGCGTCGGTCCATAACACAAGACGGTCGATATGTCGAACACCTGTAGCAAAATCTCATGTCTTGGTTTTCTATTTATTTTTATTGTTATTAGATATAGTTTAAATGTGTTGATGTTGGTTAAATATATTTTAAATTGTTATAAAATTATGCATCTCTCATAGCAAATATTATTTTCGTTTTAATTGATTCTCATATCTAGAATTTTTTTGCATTACAGCCGGTGCCGTTCAAAGCCTACTTATTTAAAGCGGGCAATTTTTATATACTCTATATCTCGAAGAGGAATCGAGCAAAATATCAAGTGTGTTATATTTTTGGAAAGGTAATTTTAAATTCTTTTCAATAAATTAAAAATATACAGGGTGCCTCATATAAGAAATCAAATTTTTTGTTGATAATTCTTAAATTATTAATTTTAAAAAAATTATACTTAAACCATTAAATTCTAGGTAAAAAGGTGCTTTGGAAATGATTTCATAAAAATACAAAATTTTCCATAGCAAAAAAGTTACAGCAATTTGTTAAAAATGCATATTTTTGAAAAACACCCCGTAACTCCCAAACGGTAACAGATATCGATATGCGGGTTTCACCATCATGTTTTTGACAAAAATTGAGCTCCAGACACCGATATTAGTTTTTGTCTATCTCCTATAGAAAAGGGTGTTTCCATTTAAAGGCGTTGAATTTGATCCACCCTGTACAGGGATGAAAGAAAGTTACAAATGTTGTAATTTATACTGTTATCGAAAATAAAATTCGGTTAAGTGAAAAAATGAGACATGTCCACAATTTAAAAATGGTCGCCATTGACATAGCTTATATTGTATTTTCACTAAACTGTGATATATGATTTTTAGATAACCCGAATAATGTTATGTATTCGTTTTAGATCGCTGCGTGTATTTTATGTGGATTAAAACAGTTTTTTCTCTCTCCTATAAAATTCAGTTTTTTACGACCCCTTTCTACAATCAGCGATTCAGTTGATCGTTTGCTTTTTCGTTACCTTATCCCTTGGTGAACTACCACCCAAAGTAGGAGGACTTCTTCTTTGGCTAATTTGTTCGGCTTGTCTAGGTTTTCTTTGACCAACTTCGAATTGATGGTTATTGGGTTGATCGCTCTTATGGCTGCTTGACTATCGGACAAGATGGTTATTTTTTGTTTCCCATAGTTCCTATCTAAGATAAGTTGTATGTATCTGTCGATAGCGTAGATTTCTGCCTGAATGATACTGAGGTACGTGCCCATTCGTTCGTAGGTGCCCCCTACCATACAATCTACACTTAGATATTCTGTATATTTAAAATATATACAGGGTAAGTCTTAAATAAGTGCAAATATTTTCAGGGCTGGTAGATCTCGATAAAAGAAACATATTTTCTCTTTGCCGTTTTTTAAATAAGTCGAAAATAAACGAGTTATTTTACTTTGAAAATTTAAGAAAATGATTTTTTGCTTCTCAAACCCAATTTTTTTTTCAAAAAATTCCAAATTTTCCAATTTTTTTTTCGCGATTTTTTTTTCGCGTCTAAATATACTACCTCTAAAAATATTTGCACTTATTCAAGACTCAACCTGTATAATAAAATATTTACAAAATTGTACATTTTAAAGTGTAATAAGTAATATTTTTCATGAAAAATGTTAAATTCCAAGCAATTATTATAATTTTTCGTAAGAACTAATTATGATATACTTATTACATTTTAGGATTTACTGATCCATTTACTACAAATATGGATCAGCCAGGATTTCAAGACAATGATCTAGAATCACTAAAAAAACTTGAGAAAGATCAAGTGAGAGATTTCATTGAAAAGTTGGTCAATGTTATGCTAGGGGAGAATGTGGATAATGCTAGTGTATCCATGCTGTATAACGACAAACTGTGTAAGTATTCAAAATGTGCTTTGACTCTAGAGTTTAGAATCTACAACCTCTATAATAAATTTGTATATTAACTGTATAATATAAGAATATAAGAATATATAAACAAAGATAATATAGACGATTTAATCTTGACATAATGGTGAATGCGCAAAAATATTCAATGTTAAAGATATGAGAAATGTTACATTGTGTGTGCAACAATACAGCAATCTACAATAAATATAAATACAAATATATAATGATTTGTAGTGTTGTATACGTATGTATGTACAGGGTGGTCGAAATTGGTCTGTTTTAACAGAGAAACCCTATTTCCTGACTATATAGAGCAAAACCGACATAGGATGGGATCGATTTCTGAGACACGTTTAATGGCGTAAACCGCCTGTTGATATTTTCACCGCCAACTGAGATACGGGGTATTTTTGATTTTTTTACCATTTTGAAAATTGCCCATAACTTTTTTAATTCGCGGAGTAATAAAATTCTGTAAAAACGTTCTTAAGGCACTTTTTTAAGGACAATCCAGTGGCGTAGTCAGCTTTTTTCTATGTTTGCTCTTTTTGTCAGAAATAATAAAAATATAATTTTTTAAATGGAAATCATAGTTGGCTATGAACTTAAAACAATGATGGCGTTTAACCCTTTCCAACGATATAAAGTTATGTGTATCTATTTCTAAGAATGAGAGAAATGTTAGGGTTTTTTATCTTTATATCGAAGCGGGCCTTGATTTTGTGTTGACCTTGCTGCCTAATTATTTTTTATCACAATTTAATATTTTATATTATTATTTATCTGCATAATTAAAGACTTTTGAAAAGGTAAATCAACATTCTATATTAATATTATCAATTATAATTAAAACGCCAGGGTTACAACTGAACTATTAAATGGAGAATTTAGAGAGAATTGATTGGAACAAGGGACCCCATATCTTAGCCTGCTAGCTCCTGTGATTTAACTCCTTCCGACTTATTTTTAAGAACCATTGGGACGAGAGAAGAATTGCAGAAGGCTACTAAGCAAGCTTTTTGGACACCAGTTCGCCTAATAAATCTCTGTAATTCTGTGCGCAAAAGATCTTTATTCTGTATTCTACAAGGAGTTGTTTGAACATCTTTGATGCTTTTTTTTAGAAAACTCTATTCGTCACTCAAAAAATACGTTTTATTAGTTTTGTTCTTTGTTTATTGTATCGATTTCAATTGTAATTACTAATACTAATATAGAATGTTAATTTACCGTTTCAAAAGTTGTTAATTATGCTTATATGATAAATAATAATATAGCATATTAAATTGTGATAAATAATAATTAGGTAAATAGGTCAACACAAAATCATGGCTTGCTTCGATATAAAGATAAAAAACCCTAATATTTCTCTCATTCTTAGAAATATATACACATAACTTTATATTGTTGGAAAGGATTAAACGCCATCATTGTTTTAAGTTTATAGCCAACTATGATTTCCATTTAAAAAATTATGTTTTTTATTATTTCTGACAAAAAGAGCAAACATAGAAAAAAGTTGATTACGCCACTGGATTGTCCTTAAAAAAGTGCCTTAAGAACGTTTTTACAGAATTTTATTATTCCGCGAAATAAAAAAGTTATGGGCAATTTTCAAAATGGTAAAAAAATCAAAGACTCCGTATCTCAGTTGGCAGTGAAAATATCAACAGGGGGTTTACGCCATTAAACGTGTCTCAGAAATCGAGCCCATGACATCTATGTCGCTTTTGCTCTATCTAGTCAGGAAATAGGTTTTCTCTGTTAAAACATACCAATTTCGACCACCCTGTACACCAACATTTTTTAAAGGGTATACCTTTTAACTTTAGTGATATTTATTGATAATAACTGGTCTTACAAACAACAATGGACGCTTTAGACGTTTATATTAGACGTTTTGAGGTATTACAAAAAAAGTGTTAATCTGTAAATTTAAATTATTTTTTTAAGAGACTGTTAACGGATCATTGAAATTTTTGTTACTGAGAAAAACTCTAGGCAGAAGAATTTGTTTGTAATTTTTATTTCTAAAATCGATTTTGACTGTTATTCAATGATAACATTATTTATATTAGTCAAAGAAGATATTTAATTTTATAATGTATCATTGTTCACCACTTTCAAACGTACATTTTTGTAAAAACGAAAAGTAAATATAATTATTATATTTCCCCTCACAGATAATGAAATGTTCCTCCGTTATCATAGGGAGCTTAGCAGTACCTTGTCTGATTTAGGGTCTGCTCTCCATATCTCAATAGCTCGTAAGTTCATAGTTTGATTATTACAGGCACGGCTTTTATTAGCACCAGGCTTTTGAGTACATTGCACCGATTTTCACATTTTGGAACTAAATTTAATATTTCTTTTTGGTTTGTATGCTTTCCAGAGATACATAAACAAATTGCAAAGATTTTGTTGCATGAATGTGTTGCCGCATTCATGATGAGGTCGAAAACTGTTGAGACTACATTCGTATCAAAATTCAAATTGCACCGAATATTTAAAATATGTAAACAAAACTTTTTTTTGTCGGTTTTATTTTAATAATATTCCCTATTTACTGAAAGTGTCGTGGTATACCTACAAGTGGCAGTGGCATTAAGACAATGGTCATAAAATGTAGTATATATTTACTTATTTGCTCAGTTAATGTATGAGCAAAGATTGAAAACGGCTTTTACTAATTACTGTAAACATTATCTGAACTCACTTAAGTGAAAGTATAAAGAAATATTCTAAAATAATCAAAAGTATTGGGAATAATGTATTTGCCTTTGTGGCGAGTTCATTTCTTGAAGTGTTCTGTTTTTTTTTTGTCATGAGCAGAAAATATACAATATAAAAAAGTTATTTATTGTAGACACTACCGCGTTGATCTAAAAACGTAAAGCCAAAAAGCTTCAAACTTCTTGTATGTATATGATGTTTTTAATTTTTACTTAGGTTTTTTTATGGTATGTGTATTAAAATCAAAGAAGCGATAGCCATACATTACTAACCTCTACAGATGTCTGAACAATAGATTTATTTATTTTCTTTTGGATTAAAATTGCCTCTTTTTATTTTTTGTTTGGGTGTTTTTGTTTTTTTTTTGTTTTTTTAGGTTCTTTTATCATAATTTGTGCGTCGTTTAGGCCCGCCGCAAATTGAACCCAGCCCACGCACAGCACACGCCCAACCCATGCGTGGGGAATTTTGTAAAACACAGGAAAGAAGGGATTACCGCAAATTAAACACAGTCCACGCCTAGCACAGTCTTTTCGTGGATCTAGTTGCGTTCAGACACAGTTTTCGTGGATCGTGGGTTCCTTCCCCTTCTACTTTTGCGACAAACTGCTAGTTTTTCTTCACTTCCAATAGGTTTTTGAACGTTGCACTCCTTACCCGTAATGTCTGGTTTTAATAGTTCAAACACTTAAAAAAACTGTCTCCTGTTTAATCGAAAAAACTCTTTAACTAGGCTGTCTTGAACTCCGCTAGACAATCTAAACTCTCCATGGCTTGCTCTTTTTCGAAAATATGCGTCGTTCTTTTTTTTCTCTTTTGGTTAAGCAAATAAAGTAAAACAAGTCCTTCTTCTTTCTCGGATTCTGGGTCATGCAGAAGCGTCCCCGTCGCGACCCTGGGTACTGGCTAAAACCAGTAGCTGATTCTGCAACCACCCACTCAGTGTCTATCTATCTAGCTAGGAAGTAAAATGTCAAACAAGAGAGATACCAATCGGTCCTCATTAGGACCAGCACTGACCATCATTTCCTTAAATGTGGAAGGACTATCTACCCCGAAGCAGACTATGCTGGCGGAGATATGCAGGAGGTATGAGTGTCACGTACTATGTCTACAAGAAACACACAGAGGCCCTACGGACCCTAGGCCTCATATATCGGGTATGACTTTGATAACCGAACGACCACACGAGCAATATGGTAGCGCAGTTTTCATCAGGAAAGATATGGCGTTGGGAAGTTCGTTTAAGTCAGATGCCAATAACATTGAGACACTTACTATCGTTTTCGAAAATCTCGCAGTCATGTCCCTCTATAAACCTCCGGCATCACCCTTTAATATCCCAGAGTTTGGTGCCCATGATATCTCCGAACCGAAATCAAGGGTTATTATTGGAGATTTTAACAGCCACAGTGTGGTGTACGGCGAGACAAATACACTACGGCGAGACAAATACAGACGGGGAGAGGGTCGAGTCATTTATTGAGAGTATCTCAATGTCTTTAATCCATGATGCCAAGCTTCCGGCATCTTTTAACAGCGGAAGATGGCGGCGAGGTTACAACTCCGACCTAATCTTTGTCAGCGATAACATCAAACAACACTGTGTAAAAAAGGTTCTGGAACCTATTCCACGTTCTCAACACAGGCCCATTATGCTCCAAATTAGAGCTATAATCGAACCAAAAATCGTTCCATTCCGCAGACGCTTCAACTTTAAGAAAGCGAATTGGGAAGGTTTCAGGGAAGAATTGGATGGGGTTGTTCAAACTATCGAGCCAATATCTGATAATTATGACATCTTTATAGAGAACATAAAAACCTTTTTTTCTAGAAAGCACATCCCGCGTGGCTGCCGAACTCAATACATTCTGGGTTTGGACCGGAACCAGAGTAAGCTCTACGACGAATATACGAATTTGTATATGCGCGATCCTTTCGCAGAGGAAACTATAAACTTGGGTAATAGACTGTCGGAAGAGATTTCTATTAGTCGTCGTCAAAATTGGCAGACTCTTATCACCAATATCGATATGAAACACTCTAGCCGACATGGAAAACATAAGAAAGGTGAACAACTACCCAACATCCCCCAAAGAGATACCAAGCGTAAGTGCGAATCAGATAGCCCACAAACTCATTGTGAACGGTAAGTCAAATGGGAAAAAGACACTCCGCCTTACTAGAATAGAACAGGAAAATAACGAGTTCAGCCAACCTTTCGCAATAATTGAAATAAACGCAGCTATCGA